AGATCTACTATGCAGCTAAATCTCAAGTTTCAGTTCTCACTTTAATTACAGTAGAAGTTTCACTTGTAGTGGTACAAGTTCAGATTATACTAAAATCAGATTAGTTTCTTCTTAATTAATATATAGACCATGTAGATTTTATTCAGATATGCTCTTAAATGATCACATATATCCTAAGTAGAAGATCAAAATGAGAAAGTGGTTTTGAAAACTGGATTTTACTTTGAAAGGACTACAATGTCAATTACAAGATGTTCAGCCTGTGATATTATTAGGACTTCTGATATCTTGAACATTGCTATTATTATGGAGTTAAATTTTCAGATTAATTTTATTCTTTCTTATTTTCAGCAAAGTTATAGAAGCCTACAAAGTTTCTTCACTTAAAGAACTTAAAGAAGTATCTCTAAGTATCTTCTCCTAATTTACTCTGGATTTACTGCAGGTTTACTCCTTTGTAATATATAGATTCAAGACTGTGCTAATAATTATATTGCTCACAACTCTGTGTTCAAATGAGGATCTTAGAGAAAGTTACTTTAAAAAAATGACAAATCTTACCATGGGACAGAGTATATTTATAATGTACTTGCTACAATAAATGTCAAAGAGATGTTCAGACACTCCTGTTACATAATTGCTGTTTAAAGAAGTATAATTGAAATGTAAGCATACCTCACATGAAATAAAAGGAAAGTTACTGATTTACACCAGTGTAAAGAAAGACTTGTACTTTTAAAGAAAATACTAGATTGTATTTTGTCCAAGGAATATTCCCTTCAGAATAAAATGAAAACTAGTCATAAAATGACACATCAATATTTGTGTTTTCAACACATTTTTGTAATTTCTAGATTTCCTCCTTTTTTTTCAAAAAAACTAAAATTATTCAAAGAAAAAATTTAAACCCAAAAACCCCTCAAAAAATCAAAAATCTTATAAAAGTGTTAGTTTTTATTAGCAAGAGCTAGTACCTAGAAAGAGGTGTAAAAGGTTTAAGTCTGTGTCTACCCGTCTGCATAGGAAATATTGCTATGTAAAAGTCTTCACAATAAATTAAAGGTGATTCTCAAAGGAAGTCTTGTGAGCCACACAGTTTTATGTTATTTACAAAAATACTTATCTGAATTTCTAATTTGCCTTGGCAGCAGTAGATTGTACAGGAAAACAGAAATCCTGGAGGGAGAATTGAAATCAGATAATTCTGAAAAGGCTAAATCCTGTCAGATACTGAGCTTTTATACAAATAGGAAATTAATTCTAGGATTTATGAATCCTAGTCACAGAATATTTTAGGTGGTTTGGGACCCCTGGAAGTTATTTAGTACAATGCCCCACTTAAAGCAGAGCCAGCTTCCAAGTCTGATGCCGTTTGATGTTAGATCACATTACTCAAGACATTGTCCAGATGAGTTATGAATGTGTCCAAAGATTCCCACAGCTGTGGACACCCTTTTTCAAGTTTGAGTGTTTGTGAATTTCATTTTCCTAATACTCAGTAACTGAATACTTCAATATTTTTTTTTTTTAACTGTGCTATTCTAATCCCTCACTCATTGAGGTTGCTAAATTTTTACTTCTGTCTTAAAAAAGTTCAGATTTGGACCAACACAGAACATGATATTTGCACTGAAAATAGTGTCACTTAAGGGGTGTTAACACTGTAATTCCCTGCAGCCATTCATCAGAACTTCTGTTTACACAGAGCACAGTCTTCAGTGGTTAATTCCACAATGGCTATTTAACAAATCAGTTTTGCCAAACTGGTGCAGTTAGCCACAGAAAAGCCTCTACACATATGGAGCTCCAGTTAGAGCTCGGGTAAACATTGTACCTCAGTCTTCCTTTCAATACTGTATTCTGCTCCTGCTGTTGTGTTTTATAGGCTAGTGTGAATGAAGGAGAGAGAAATGTAAATCTGTCTTCTCTTTTTCAAAATCCTTTGTGGTAATATTGTCTTGCAGTACATCCTGTGACTAATGTTCATGCTGCAGAAGTTGTAGTTCTTCCATCCGTTTCCAGATAGAAATGTTTCTAATTGAGTATGCAGGGACTTTTAAAATTTTCTTTGTTCTTATCTTGTAGAATCAGTTGTTAAAAATGCTGTAAAAATTAATGTAAGAAATGAGCTTCATGAAAGTTTTGGAAATTGGCAACACATACCTTGAACATAATCGTAGTATAGTTGTCGGAAGAGACCTCTGGAGATCATCTAGTCCACCTCCCTGCTCAAAGTAGTGTCAGTTAGAGCAATATATTCAGAGTCTTGTCCTGAACTCAGGATTTTGAATCCTTGTGGATGGAGACTGCACCATCTGTGTGGGCAACTCATTCCAATATTTGAATACTCTGATACAGAAGAATTTGTGGGTGTTTTAAGGTTTAAGTTGAATTTCCTGTGTATTGAATTTGTTCCCATTGTTTTGCATCCTATCACTGGGCACCACTGGGAAGAATCTTTCTCTGTCTTCTTTACTGTCTCACATCAGAGTTTATACATGTCAAATAAGGCCCCCAAGCTTTCTCTTCTGAAGATTAAAGATCCCTGTTGTCTAAGCTTCTGCACAAATTCTGTGATGAACTCACTGCTGCCTGTCTGTGAGATTCTTGTATTGAATAGAGAACAATCATGTGTCTTGAGCTGCTGGTGATGCTCTTGAGTGCAGCCCAGGATACTGTCAGCTACCCTTCCCACAAGAATGCATTGTTGGCTCTGGGTCAGTTTTGTGTCCACTGGGACCTCCAGGTCCTTTCCTGCCAAGATGTTTCCCCGTTGGCTTGCCCCCAGCCTCTACTGGTGCATGGGCCTGTTCTGCTGCAGCTACAGAACTTGCATTTCCTGCTGCTGGTCTTCCTAAGATCTCTGTTGGTTTGTTTCTCCAGCCTGTTGAGTGACCATAGTATTCTGGTCTGTCAGCCCCTGCTCCTGGTTTTGTGTCATCTGCATACTGAGACATGGCATTCTGATGGCACTCTGTCCCATCACCCAGGCCATTAAAGAAAACTTTATTGCCCTCTGTAAGGCAAACCACCTGTGGCTGGCTTCCTTGCCACTAATCACAACCTTTTAGGCACAATAGTTCACTCAGTTTTCAGTCCACATCACTTTCTGTTTGTCCAGCTTGTACTTCATCAATTTATTTATGGAGATAAGATGGCAGACAGTGTCAACCGTCTTGCTAAAATAAGCTAAACAACTTTCATCATCTCAACCAGTCATCATGACGTCAAGTTGGCTGGTCAGGATTGATTTCACCTTCGCAAATCCCAGCTGACTACTTGCAGGCATGTTTTTGTCCTTCCTATGTTTGTAAATGGTTGCTAGGAGGATTTGCTTCTGTCTCAAGACATCACAAATATTATGTGGAGTTCATTTTACTATGGCAGAAGAAACAAGTAAAAGCAAATCCAGGGGCTAGAGGGAGAAGGCTTAGTGCTGTGCTTGTGCTTTAGAAGTGTTTGAAAAGTGCTTTGCAATGGGTCCTGCATTTAGACCAGGTCTGGGACCCCCTGGCCAGCAGCAAGCAGCTGCTGTCACGGAGGAAGGAAATATTAGGACTGCTGGGGCCCAAGAACTTCCCTCCCTGCAGAAGGATTCCCAGCATTGCTAAGTCACTGGATCTCCTGTAGGATGAACTCAGAAGATGAGTCCTGAAGTTTTATATTTAAATGGTATGTGGATTTTGCTAGCACAAAAGAGGCTGAGCTAAATTGCTTCTAAGTATAGGGCTCTGTTGTGTTCTTCTATAGTTAGCACTGTTAATAAAGGAATAGTGCCTTCATAACACTGAGCTTACTATGACTCTGAAGAAAAGATTTAGCATTTATTTTAATTTGTTTATTAGTACAAAAATGTGTACATCTGAGCATTTAGCAATAATTCTCTGTAATTCTGAAGTCTTCTGAATTTAAAGAAAATCTGTGGTGCAGCTAATTTGGTAGAAATAGAAGAAAAATCTGCAGTTGGAAAATTACAGTGTGTAGGTGTTGAAATGCCTCCTGCTTCACATTCTTAATTGGCAGTAAGCCAGAAACTAAGAATTTCTGGTTTAAAGGGAAATGCTTCCCTTTTCTTTACATTTTGATGGATAAAAGTAGCATTTTGTTTGCATTTTTTTAGCACTTAGGGTTTCTTTCATCTTGATACAAAATGAATAAAAGTTTAATTAAATAGCTTCTCCAAGTTACCTTGGCTTTTTGCATTACTACTGGATAACACAAAGATATGTATGCCTTGCCAAAGGAAAAGGATGTGTTGATGTTTAGTTTTAGTTTTAATTTTGGCATCCAGACCCTTTTGCTTTCTGATTCTATTCTGGGAGTTGATCCAGTTGAGTAATTTTTATTTTCACCTCATACTTTTTTTCATTGCTGCCTACCATTTCCTTCCCATCCTGCTTTTGTTTTGTTACCTTTTTCAATTGTGGGATACCATTGAGAGAGACAGAATGAGGAGAAAGGTACAAGATCTGTAATTTAACCAAGTTTTTATATCCATTTTTAATCATGTTTGTGTGCATATGACTATATGTCTGTCTGCTTTCCCTACAAAAGGAAATAATGGTAGATTTCTGTTAAAATGTTGTATATTGTGTGTTGTTTTCATCTTGTACAAGTTTACATCTTGTGTGTATATCTTCTATTTGCCCACTTCCTATCGTTTATCACTTGTGTTGCTGTAAGGCAAAAGATTCCATGAAACCAATGCCTTGGTCATCTGGTTTGAAAAGATCTTTCAAAAGTTTCATATTTTTATGCAAAGCTACACTAAAAATTAAAGCATTCCATGTAGGAAATGATATATAATAGCTTGACAGGATGATATTTTAAAATGTGGTCTTCTACCGCATATTATATAAAAAAAAATAATGCCTCTCTTTGCTTGCATGAAAAGCCTGAATAGTATATGTTTAATTTTCTTGGTTTTGTTTTTTTAATGAAAGTCGTGAACTTGTAATCATCACAGTGAGTAATGTATTGTATGTTTATGTTTTTGTAAGTTCTGGCCAGGATATCCAAGGAACAAGTGTGGTGGCAAATCTTCCAGTCCTTATGAGACAGAATCCTGCAGAAACACTTCGTCGGGTTTTACCAAAAATCAGGGTAAGTTTTGCGTATTGAGGTTTGGATGTATCTATTTCTGACAGTTTAAGTATTTTAACAAAGGAATAAAAAATCCCACTTTTATTGCAAGCTCAGTCTCTAGGAGGTGTATATCCAGTAGGTCTTCCACATTAATCCACTGAATTTAAGAAGTATTACAGGTATGGTTTTTAAAAAATTGTTACAACAGGGGGAAAAAGAAAGTAGAATTAATACTACTTAAGTGTTCTTAAGATTTTACCAGTGTTTTGACAGCTTTTTGAAAATTCTTTCTGAGGACTATCCAGGCATAATGGTTGATTCTGATGTTCTCAATCGCCTTTCATCCAAACATTAAGGTCTTGATGGTGCTGTCCAGAAGAGCATAGTTTCCTTTTAGCTGTCTATGCAATTTCACATTCTGCCCTCCACATTTTTAGTAAGTCGCTGCTAGTTGTGATAAATGCATGCTGACCATGTAATTTTATACAGTAATTTTATATAGAGATATGTTTTTATAAAAGATATTTGAGTTGTTTAACCTGGAGAAGAGAAGGCTCTGGGTACACCTTATTTTGACTTTTCAGTTCTTAAAAGGGGCTTATAAAAAGATAAGGACAAACTTCTCGGCAGTGCTTTTTCAGATATGACAAGGAGCAATGGGGTTAAACTAAAGAGGTAGAGATTCAGACTAGATGTAAGGAGGAAGTTTTTTAACATGAGGATGGTAAAGCACTGGAACAGATTTCCCAGAGAAGTTATGGATGCTCTATCCCTGGAAATGTTCAAAGTCAGACTGGATGGGACTCTGAGCAACCTGGTCTAGTGGAAGGTGTCCCTGCTGTTTGCTGTGGGGGAGGACTAGCTGACTTTTAAGGGTCCCTTCCAACCCAAACCATTCTATGATTCTGTGATTGTGGAGAAGATACCTGTCTCTGTATTTCCACTCTGTCCCAGATAATGAACCCTTGCCCACAAGAAGTGTACAAGTTCATTTAAAGTGTGGTTTAAGGAGCAGCATTGGCCAAATAAGAACAAACTAAATTGCAAATGCAAAACTTAAAATGCTAAAGACCCCTAAGACCCCTGCAGAAGAAGAGGGTTGGAGAGGTCCTTATCAATGTATACAAATACCTAACAAAGCAAAGACAGAGACAGGCTCTCTGCAGTGGTATCCAGTGACAGAACTGCAACTCTTGTTGGAGTGTGCGCAAACAGAAACACAGGAGGTTTCTTCTGAACATCAGGAATAATTTTTTCACTGTGAGGGTGACTGAGAAGTGGCACAAGTTGCTTAGGGATGTTATTGTCTTCCTCCTTGGAGGTATTGAAAAGCAGTCTGGGCATGTCTTAGCTGTAACATGCCCTGCTTGAGCAGGGGGATTGGAGAAAATGCCCTCCAGAAGACCCTTCCAGCCTCAAGCATTCTGTGAATATCAGACATCACCTCTCAACTTCATGTTATCTCCTGAAACATCTGTGATCTCAGGAGACTTCTGTTCCTTAAGAGGAGCTGTTCCTACTTTTGTCTGATTATTTAGATCCAGCAAATATCAAGTCAAGAAATAGCTCTCCTCAGGACTAAGGATTGGTGTAGACTGACAGATTGTTTAGAAAATGGTAAACTGCTTCTGGTTGCATTCTGTGCTGTAAGATACAGGCCAATAGACATTTTGCTTAAATATGTGTAAGTGTAAAAGTGCTTTGAGAAAAACGACTTGAAATTTCAAAGTAATTGGTAACCCTTCAACTTGCACCAAATATCTGCAGTTACAATGACATTATTCTGACATATGTAATGCAGTCTTTCTAAACCAATCTACTGGCTTCAAGAAAAGTTGGTTTGTTTTTTTATGCTTTACCATACATCAATCTATTTTTGCCTCTGGTTTTCTACTTTGAGAGCAGAATTCTTCCTGAAATTAAGGGGGAATAAGAAACAATGTGGATTTTCTACCGTTATTTTTCAAGCTGTAGAGAAGTGCTGGTCTTGGCCTGTCCTCAATAAAAAGTCTAGTATGGGAATACAGTTTTTGATTCTAGTTTTTAGTTGGTTTTTTTTTATATAGGGATGAAGAAAATATTTGAAAGTATGATCATTTGCATGAATAGGGCCTAGAGCTTGGAAAGTATTTGTACAGTGGGATCTGGATCTCAGTGTGATCTTTGATCAGGCTGTACTTAGTTACTTTGTAAAAGTATCTTCCTGTATATTAAAGACATTCAACTGAAAACAGTGTACGGAGAAAGAAGCATTAGGAACTGAAGACAGAAATATTTGAAATGAAGCAGAGAACTTTAATAATAAATAAAATCAATCTTTGAGCAAATTACTGAGAAAAGTAGTGTGGCTTTCATCTTACAGTGTCATTTAAACCCAAACTGGATGACTTCCTAGATGACAAATTAAATGAAACCTAAGTTAATGGGCTCCCGACAGGGGTATAAAAGTAAAATATAATGAGGTCAGTCTAAATCCAAGCATTCCTTTTAAGTTTAAACTTTATAAACTGAAACTTTGTGGAATGTATATGAATTAAGTTCCTTTCTGTGGGAATGCTCTTATAAAGACAGTTCTTCAATGGTGTTCTGTTATCTAGTGTTAATGGTGTTACTAGTTATCTAGTAGTAGAAGTGATGTTTTACCCATGTGCACTGCACTTTTAACTGCAAAACAGCATTTGACATCATAAACTTGACCTATTTTTTTTCTTAACCTTGTTTTTATTGAAGGAATCATCTTGACCATTAATTGGAAACTTTTATAGTCTGTAAAGGCATAATTGAACTCAGCTGTGATTAGAGTCTTGCAGATGTAATCTTCCATTGCAGGGAAATAAACTGATTTAAATTATTGCACTTGGTTCTACTTCTTTAGGTTGGGAATAATAATTTGTGAAATCAAATTGGCACATGAAAAATGAGTTATGTAGTAGTTTCAGAAGGCTGTTCGTTTGAAAGTATTGTCACCATACAATTGCATAAAGAAACCAGTGTACTTATTTAGCATACTTGCGGACACCCAAAGCAAAATTAATGTTTTTATTAGAGCTGAGGGTAAAGCAGATAAAGAAAGAAATAAATGCAAGGAATGTTCAGTCTGAATACCTTGCAAATTTGTATTTCATTTGTGAAAATTTGATAAATCCAGTTACTTCTAGAAGTATAGAAATGGGTGGATGCATATTGCTTATCATTCTGTGAAATCTAATTAAAATAAAATTATATCAAAGACACTATAACATAAGTGTTTTAGGTCTGAGATTAATAAAATCAATACATCAATAAATGTGACATATTGAATTAAGTGTCAGTACTTCGGTTATGCTGTTTAAACAAGCATACAGTATATCATTTAGATGTTAATGTAATGAGATTAGGAAGTTGTATTTTTTTAATTCTGCCATTAAAATGAAATTGCATCCTTGTATGTGTTCTTCTGCATAGAGAACTCCACTCTGGATTTCTGCATGCACCTCCTCATGAACCTTGGAAGTCATTGAAATGCAGATTTAGGGAAAGCTTAGACATTCTTACAAGCATTTCTCTTTGTCCACAAAATAGCTTTTTTCAAATGATGTTAATTGTATTTTTCCTGCTTTCCATCTTTGGGCTCTGCAACTTAAAGTGATGGAGGGAGATTGCAGGTGTCTATCTGAATGACTAATAAGACATTTTTCCAAATGCTGTGATTGCAGCAAACTATGCTTATTCTTGTTGTTGTATATACATCAAGCTTTATTCAGTGTTGTCTGATTAGTTCCAAACTCATTTTCATACTTACTTATTTTCCTAATTTATCAGCCTCCTCTTGAAACCTTTTCTTTTCCATAGCTGATTTTATAGTTTAAGAAAAGCTGGGATGATTTTCATCCTTCCTTATACCTAACATTAATGTTAAGATCCATTCTCATTGTATCCTTGAGCTTCTGTATTCTCCATTATTTCTGTGTCTTTTAATCTTAAATGAAAATTTCTATCATACCAATCCAATTACTTAAATGATTTGACTATGTCAAATGCATGCAGCATTCTTTCAAGAGAATTCTGTTGTTGCAGGACAAAATGTGCATTTAAACTAGAGGTGAATTTTCTTTTTTCCAATTAATAGAATAAACCAGGCTTTCTAATTTTAAGTTTTGATGCCTGAGTTGAACTTGTAGACATTAGAATAGTTAAGTACATGCTAATACCCTTAAATTCCATTAAATACGCTTGTCTGAATAAGACAGGGAGAGGTTTTTTAGTCTGGAGTAAAAATTTGTGGAGTATCCATGTATAGAAAAATACATTACTTTCTAAATAAATAAATTTATATTAAGTAAATTTAAGGTACTCAGCTTGGATTGTATGAAAATGGAAAGAGGAGACCCATACATTTCCAAATGCAGAACTGTACAGTTCTGAGTGTAAACATCAGTTCAGGCAGGTGTGTAAGCAATCTAGAAATTTATATTTCAATGTCTCCCGAGGTCCATGAGGAGGCACATCCAGAGAATGTGTTCTCACACATGACTATCCAGAGTTATGTGGATCAGTGGAGGAGACTATTTGGGAACTTTGTTTGTTGGTAAGTAACCCTGTTTGTATTGCGTACAAAGTGAATATGTACGGAAAACGGAATTCATAGAATCACAGAATTATTTAGGTTGGAAAAGACCTTTAAGTTCATCAAGTTCAACGGTTAACTAGGCATTGCTTCATGATTTTCTGGTCTGTGCTGCTGTGTTAGCATCCAGTGTGTAGATAGTGCTCTTGGTTCTCTTGGTGATGTTTTTTTGAAAAAGTGTAAGCCAGAATTCCTGAAAAGTATGAACAGGTATTCTGATCCAAAAATCTTCAAAATACAAAATTGGTGGGTGTCCTTATTTTTTCTTGGATGTGGCTGTAAGAGCAATAGTGGAACAAGGACAAAGTTTGTGGAAAGAAGGGGGCAGGAGGTTTCATTGGTATTGAAGGCAAATGTTTTGTTGGAAAGCAGCATAGTGCTGTTTCTCTTTTTCATTTCCGGGAGCAAAGACGCAGAGAATCCTTTTAGAAAGAAACATGGTTGTAAAGTGAGACAGGTCTTGAGAGATAAGTTATGGTTCTCCTTGAAGTAAGATAAGCTAATAATTGTACATTTGCGTGTACAAATCGTTTGACATTTGTAGAATGAAAACTTCTTGGTTTTTACTAAGTCAAAAATTTCTCAGATGTTCTCTACAAGCTATTTTCTCAGCAAAATTCCTCTGATATGCAATGCTTAGAGTCATAGAAATGTTAAATTTGGAAAAGCCCTAAGATTATCGAGTCCAATTGTTTACCCAGCACCACCATTTCCATCATGTCTCTGAGTTCCATATCCACATGCCTTTTGAACACTTCCAGGAAAGGTGGTTCTACCAGGTCCCTGGCAGCCTGTTCCAATGCCTGACCACCTTTTCAGTGAGGAAAGCAACTCTGCACCCACTCTGTCCCCAGCCTTTAGCACTGTATGGGGTTTGTGTCCCCCAGGTGGAGCACCCAGAACTTGCCTTTGTTGAACCTCAGACCATTGGCCTTGGCCTTGATCTTAATTAAGATATTAAACAGGACTGGCCCCAGCACTGAGCCCTGGGGATCCCCACTAGAGGCTGGCTGCCAGCTGGATGTAATTCCATTCACCACCACTCGGGACCCGGCACTGCAGCCAGTTTGTAACCCAGTGAAGAGTCCAGTCCATAAGCAACCTTGCACTTAGGTGCAAAATTTTTTTTTTTTTTTAATCTTATTCAGGCTTATTTTTATTTTCAGTTAAAAGTCCAGCTTATTTTGTGATTTTTGGCGAGTGATCTGAGAAAACATTGTTCATATCACTCAAAAAAAGAAACAGAAACACATACAGAAAGTGCTAAGTAGAAAATATGGGCTTTAGACTCCTATTGAATTTGCCATCATTCTTAAAATGAGTGTAATGCATTAGTAGTAGAAAAATAAACTCATTTTATTTTCTCACAAAATAGAAAGACACACTTAGAAAAGTAAACAAGTGGAATATTCACTTAGTTGATATTTACAATTACTAATACTTACAATGAATGCTGTGTCAAAGATTGCGTCTTGCAAGGTCTGTGCATAAATCTGAAATTTAAAATTTAAATTGCCCATTTCTAAATTAAAAAAATAGTAATATTTAATTTCATTTCAACATATTAACTTTGTTTAAATTTGAATAGATGATTTTAAAGACAACCCAGTTAATTCTCGTGTGTCAGAGCTCAGAAGTACTAAATGTTTAGTTAGCTAAATAAATATTCTAGTGTATTTTGCTTTATTCTTAAGACTATGTATGTACTTTTCATTTGCATTCCATTCTAGTCAAGGGGTGAAATTTAAATTGCCTTCTGCTATTTTAGTATCTCTTACTGAATGAATGAATGAAATACTTCTTTTTAATTTGTGTGCATAAACAGCAGAAGTGCAATTGTTGGCTTGTGTGTTTCTACCTCTCATTTTGCAAAGCAGGAAAATGCACGCATTGCCTTGATGAAACTTAAAGTCACAAAAAATATTATAAGTAACTTTTTTTTTCTTAGAAGATTCATTGTATATTATGATGCATCAAGAAAATATAATGTCTCCAATAAATTGACATAAAAAAAATAAATTGCTAAGAGAAAATAATTTTACAGCAAATTTTGTAGTTTACCCAGGTTGTTGCATATTAATTCTAAGTGAATGCAAAAATTTGGATGTTGTTTCAGAACGTTTCTGCCTCGCTCTCTAAATTGTTATAATTTATAATTATACAGGAGGTTCTGCATGTTGCAGGAGTGGAAATGCAGTTAACAGCTGCTGTTTCTTTTTTGACTGTTCTGCAAGAGGAGTCGGTGTCCATTCATACGTACTCCCACTCCTTCCTACACATCATTCTCCAGAACCTGGAACACAGAGATGCAGGTCAGGGCTGTACAGCTACTCTGATGGCTGATGACCTCTACATGTTTTGTTTCCTTACTGGCCTCACAATACAGTGTCAACAGTGAGTGAAATCACTGTGACTTTGTATCTAGACTTGCATGAATTAAAAGATTTTTGCATGATGACCACTTTCATATTAATATTTAAATGTAATTCTGATTGAAGCAAAAAAAACCTCTCACTTTGCTTGAAGAATTAAATTCCAAAGTTGTTTCTGAGTCTGAGCTTCTCCTGAAGTACCAACATTTTGTGGCTGAGAAAATGGAGGGAGGATGGTTGAGATTTCTTCTGTGTTGATTATTTTTTTTGTAATTTCTTTGACAGTAATTTTAGAATGCAAAGGAAAAAAAAAGGGCTGTTGTGCAACTCAAAAGTTTCAGTGGGCATAAGAAAAGAATATGCTTCTAAGTGAGGGGAATTAGCTTTATAAAGCAATCAGACTAGTTATTAATTTTATATAGAAATTAGAAATGGAAAAGAAATGGGGGCAGACTTTGCTTCTTATCTATCCTGCTTCTTACCTATCCTACTTCTTACTCTGAAGTCTTGAATGTTAATATAGTGGCTTTCAGGTACATAGCTCTTTGAAGACGTGTAAAAAGAGCAAATTCTGTGTATGAATTTTTTTCTGAGCAAAAACTGGTGTATGTTTTGGTTTAGTTGTTGTATGTACAATATGAGACATCACATGTAACTCATTTCTTTTAAATAGGTGTCAGCAATGCATGGTTAGAAACTCTTCTTGCTGTAATAGAAGCTTTACCAAAAGAAACTATCAGACATGAGGTAATTCTAATCTCTCATGCTAACAAAAAAAAAAAAAAAAATTAAGATTTTAAGATTGTATTTCCCTGCAAGTTTTATTCACCTCAGTCAGATTTGTGGCAATTTCACTGTACCTGTGAAGATGGTAATGGTTGTGGAACACACTCTAAGAGACGAATGGGTGAAAAAGTGAGACAGGAAAGTCACCCTAAAAAAAGAAGTTTTCTTCAGCAAATAAAGCCAGCACTTACTTATATTCCACTGTAACACTTCCACTGCACTTTGTATTCTCAGTAACATCTTTTCCTGCATCCTGTTTTGGTTTACAGCATAGTATCTCACTCTGTGTCTTCATGAAGAAATGACATTTTGTTTACTATTGGACTAAAATTCCAGTATCTGCTAAATGGAACTGAATGCTGGAGATCCATTCCTTAGTGTATTTCAGTAGTTTTTGGTATAGCAAAACTCTAATGCACTGCAAACACTTAATTTTTCGCTGTGTAGCTCAAGAAAGAAAAAGAAAATCTGTCACCAAGTTATAATGCCAATCCCCTTTAGTCAACTAATTTATTTTTAGTGTTGTAGTATATATATTTATATATATTTTTAGTATATAGTATACATATATAATTTTAAGTATTCATATTTTGTTAAGTTTAAAAGCTTTGCAGCAGATATACTGTGTTTATAACAATGTGGAGATTTAAATGACTGTTTGCGTAGTATAAAAATTCTCTTTAAAATAATGACTAGAATCCAGAACCGTTTAAAAAATCAGATTCTAAAGGGTAAAAAGTTAGGTTGGAAGAAGCACAGAGAAATTATTCTAGTCACCTCCAAAATCTAATTGCAGGGTAATTTTAAAGATGTCATTTAAACAAAATCGACTATTAATGTGCATAGGCACCATTATTGTTAGTACTGATTAATTCAGTGTAAAGGTTAATGACATTTGGAATATGTTTTTTCTAGATTTTTTCTTTAAGAAGAGGAATACTTTATTTAATGCTCACAATTTTTCTCTTCTTTTTTCTTCTTTTTTTTCCCATGTAGATCCTGAATCCACTTGTTTCCAAAGCACAGCTTTCTCAAACACTTCAGTCCCGCTTAGTTAGTTGTAAAATCATGGGAAAAGTAGCTAACAAATTTGAAGCTCATATGTAAGTAGAGTGTCAATATATTTACATTCCACAGTGTAAACCAGTATTTCTTTGTTAGTGGACAAAAATGACTACAAGAAAAGTAGACTTTATTGCAAAAATGAAATGCTTTTTTTCATGCTCATTTTCAATCACAGATCCCTTTCATTATTTAACTAGCATGTTCAGACTTTCTGATGTTCATCATTTCATAACTTGAATTTGTATGTTCTTTCACCAATTTGAATGGATAACATTTTCATGCCCTTCTTCCATATTGTTTTTCTTACGAGAAAATAAGCCACACAGTGGATTTCTCTGAAAACTTACAGGCTCAAAATGCAGCTTCATCTCCTTAGAATTTCTTGTCATAGAAAGAGGAATTCCATTCCTAACTTTTTATTATGTGACCAAATTTAGCATGTAGGTCTTGTTTTTTTCCTATCCCTAATGAAAATGTAGATATATCAGGAACTACTGCTGTTCCCTGATATTACCCAGCCCTTAGATTCGGTCTCTGTGAGTCGGGACAGAAGAGGGTGCAATGATGAAAGTAAATTTGACTCACTCATCTGCCCAAAGCTGTTGGTGTGGTACATTCCTTGGTCAGTTTACCCTGGTTTATGGTAGTAGGACCACTCCAACAAATGTGTTTGCTCTCTGGGCAATCCGACAGCATGACTTGGAATTACGATAGAAATCCACTGTGGGCCACTAAATTCCCAGATTGTCTAGCTGAGGAAGTCCACTCTACGAATGATTTTTATCTGCCCCAAAATGTAAGAATGCAGCATAACAGGACAATATGATTAGACATTTAAGAATACATTTCTTTAGATTATGGGTTTTTTTTCTTCAATAAAAAAGAACTAGAAACACCCAAAAGGAAACTAAATCTTCATTTGCTGTTTAGACTGTACTTGTTGACATTCAAAAGTTAATGGAAATTGTAGAATAGTATTTTTTGACAATGTTACCAAACCTTTATATTCCAAATCTCTAGGTCTGTCAGAATAGCAGTTGCATTTATTTATTTGAAGTTACACTCTCATGGACATACGTGACTTTAGGGATTACTTGGAATCTTATGTGAAAATACAGTAGTGTTAATTAGTAATAATTAATAATAATTAATAATTAATAATTATTAGTAATAATCAACACACATCTTTTGTGGTGTTTCTTCAACGATTCCTTGCTGTTCAGAAGCAGGAATCCCCTCATTTCAGTAAACAGGTCTTAGCAGCTTTTCTGCACAGCCACTACATTTTAAGAAGATAACTCAGAATTTTCTGAGACATCTTGTTCTTCTGGTAGAGACCTCTGAGTGCAGTTCAGAGGCCTGAAAAGAGAGGTTTAGAATGTGGCAGAATGAATAAAATTCAGGATGCACTCTCATTCCCCTTTGAGAAGGGCTTCTGGTACAGGCCCAGAAGACAGATCTATCCTCAGGAGTAGGCAATATATAAGCATATCTTCACATTCTTCTACAGAATGGCACAGTTTTTCCTCATAAAATTTATATTATAATAAAAAATTTTATTTGATGTTACTCCCAGGTTATTTTATATTCTGTCCTTGTCATGGAACATTAGTTTTTCTACCCTCTGTTCCAGTGTTCCAAGTTTAAAAGTTTTTTATTTTTATTTTTTAATTTTTTTTTATGTAGCCCCTAATTTAGTATATTCTAAAATGCCGAACTTCCAACACTGTACAATTTTTTGAAACTTGAAGCTAAATTTTTCTGTAAGAAGTAAATTAATTTTCACTGGAATGAATGCAAGCTGGCTTGCAAATTTGCTTGTCATTGCCTGCATATTATTTATCTGATTTTTGCAGTAACATAAGAATTTTTATAGAGATATTTTATGAATACTTATGACAGAACCTTGGGAAGTGAAAGGAAACACAATGGCTGATTCTGTCAAGTTGTAATATGTGTTTTTACTGAAATAACATATTTCAAAATTTCAAAATTTTTATGTTGTATCTGCCTTTGATTTACATGAATACTTGGTCTACTTGCCTGAAGATATTGCAATATTCAAGCTTTTAATCTGAAATTCTTTTCCTCCTTTCTTCCTAATTATGTCTTGGGTGATACCTGCATATCAAAGGTGAAGTATTACAGACATTTAATTGGGATTTTCATTTCCATTTATATAGTGTTTTTATTCTTTCAGTGGCTGTTCAGAAGTTGTACTGAAGATGTTTATTAAATGAGGACAGCATTCTACTACAGTAGCCTACCTACTATTTTTGTAGTTTATAAGAAATTATAGATGAAATATGAGCGAATTGTAATGACAGTAAATATTCCTTTTCCTGTTTCTTTGGAGCACATATTTGCATCCAATGTACAATATTCTTTTCTAATTGCTGATTATCAGAAAAATAATTTACTGTGTGTGATAAATTAGTAATATATGGGATAAACAAGTAATATGTGAGTAAAGTTCAGTACAGCTCAACAGATTTAATATATTCTTGTTCTATATTTTCTTAAAAAAATGTTCATATTTTTAGTATTAAAAGAGAGGTTCTTCCATTGGTAAAATCACTGTGCCAGGATGTGGAATATGAAGTTAGAACTTGCATGTGTCGGCAACTGGAGCATGTAGCTCGAGGAATAGGGTGAGTGGAATTTGCCTGACTGATCTTAAATGCAAAATATTTCTCTAAAATGTTAACCTAAAAGCTCCCTTTAAAATTGCTGAATTCATGCATATTCAATAATGAATTTGAAATGTACAGATGTGATCTTAGTACTTGGCTATTGGAAGTTGTTTCTTTTTCACTTCAAGATTTTTCTTTCTCTTTTATAGTAAAGGAGAGTTATAATATATAGTAAAAGAGAGTAAAGGTTATTGCTGAACCATAAACCCAGCAGTTTTTTTGTAAATAATCTATATCTGTAACTTCTTGAAATTATCTTGATTATCCATTGATGATGGATTACTATCAATAAATAATTTTATTATTTAAAAATTCTGACAGGTATTAGCAGTTTTAATAACTACTGTGCAGTTTTTTGAGAAAGGATGTTAAATGGCTTTTGTAAGCAAATTTCAGCTCAGTATCAACTTTTATTTGAAGCTTGAAGGCCTTCGATATTCACACATAGGATTGAAAAAGTCTGGAACTTTAATAAAAGAAAATGTTAATTACACTCAGGATTGGTCTCAGAATGAACAAATATTTTAAAATTCAGGGTCTCTCTACCTATCATTTTATCAGGGAGGAAAAACAGCAGTAACTTATTTTACAGAATTGAAAAATTATCAAGTAATATTCCTTACCCAGTGCTAGACAGCAGAGAGAGATTAGATCTTATACTAACAAGTTACCATACTGTAAATGAAGTTTTCTTAATTCTGTTTAGTGTCTTTAAAATGAACTAAATTTCACTTATTCTGCCTTGGATTTGAAAGTTTAAAAAAATCATAGGTATTATGCAGTTGCAAATGACAGCATTATTGGGTATTTAGTCCACCTTAGAATAATGGGTTTGATAGGGCTAAATACTTTGTTATAATTTAGCGGTCTGTCCTGTGTATTTTTCTTTGATTCTTTCCTCACCAACTTTTATTTTTAGCATTAATGTATTCGTATCGACTGTTCTCTCTCTGAAGTTTTTTACTCTAATCCCTTCTCAATGCTTTAGATGATTTAATCTCATGAGAAATGGTGAACATGGAGCACTTTCAGTATGGAAACTATTCCAGTGTTTCATGCTGAGGATGAATAGGTAGTAGGTAAATAAGAAAATAACTAAACAGATATGAGCAAATTTTCAGGTAAATATCGAAGGCATAATGTGACAACAGTCCAAATGCATATTTTTACTAGTTAATGTTATTGTCATTAAATAATCTATCATTTTCTCATAATTTTATTTGAATGTTTAATCATTTACTTGGAGGAATGCTGTTAACACCTCTTGATTTGCTGGTACATATAATAATCTCTGTAAGGTGCAAACAACTTTAATGCTGATTATAAACATTTGAAAGGATTATTGTTTATATTGACTTACAAAAGGGGCAGCTGTTACTGCTTTAGTCTGATCAGAAGGGATATTTTGAGCATTTTTATTTCAGCATCCTGGAGTTATTTAGCACTATATTAGTAGGTCAGTCTGTACCAAAGCAAAAAAGGACAAGTAGAACCCTTTCTTTACTACTTTAAACCAAGGCCAAAAGCCAGTGCTTAGACTAGTTGGGAAATTGCATTTTCTCTGAGCAGTAGCTGTTCTCTGTAAAGAAGGCTTATCTTTGATGTATAAAATTTCCAGACACTTCAATCCAGCATGGCTTATACTTATTAAATTTTGGCTTTGGATCATCATATTGAGCATATTTTAGCATAAGAATTTTTTTAGTGATACAGTGAAATAGCAGGAGTCGTTTGATTTTTTTCAGACTTCATTTTCTCTAATTTATTTTGAGCTATTTTGAGTGCTTTTTTCAAGCAAATGATGAAGTTTTGCATTTAAAATTTGCATATTTCTCTGACAAAGAAGGAAAGTCCTGAGATTGACTGGAAGTTTTTATTTAACTTTATTTTTCTTAGGGCTTTGTCAGTTTTTTCTTCTTGACTACCCAAAAAATACCTAAATGAGTATTTCAAGGAAGAATTCTGTTTTGCGGTGGCAGAATTGTTTCATTGTAAGTTTTCTTTTGACTGCTTGCTTCATGTTGCAGGACAGATCTAACAAAAACCATGGTGCTTCCTGAGTTAGTGGAACTGGCCAGAGATGAGGGCAGCAGTGTACGCCTGGCAGCTTTTGAGACTTTAGTGAATCTGCTCGATATGTTTGATGCAGGTAGGAATTTAAGTTAGGCATAGTAGCCCAATTCTTAGTACTCTAGTGCATCTTATAATTGTATTTAAATGCTTTTTGTTCTGACAGCATTACTCAGGCATTTCAATTCAAATTTCAGATTTTGTTTTGTTCGTTGTTTTGTCCTTTATATTTCCTTGTATTTCATGTCTTGCAGTGCTTTATATGTAGGAAGTTTTAAGGGAGGTGAGCAAGTTGTCCATGAAATCAATTATCATGTTCCAAGTATCTAGTATAATACGCTTAAACGGAATGAGTAAAACACCTGTATAAATTATGGGAATATTGTGTTTTTAGTATTTAATTAATTAATGTAGTGCTATCAGTGCACAGAATACAAAGTGTTAGCTCAACAAAAATGTACTGTACAGGAACTTGGTGATGAATTACTATAATATATGGTTGTATTTAAGCCATATGGAGGAGTGGATAAGGAAAAATAAAAAATAATACAGTTTTGGGGAGAATACTGTAAATAGACTTTTTAGCAGTTAGTGTTTATATCAATAAGTATGGTAGTAGCTTAATTTTCTAATTCTTGAGCCTCTGTACTGATGCTATCAAGTTTGTGCTTCTCTTTGCACCTCTCAGTCTTCACTCCTCCTCCCCACTCCTTGCTGTAACTACTGCTTTGAGTTACTGTAAGAAGCTTAGAGAAAGCAATCAGGGGTTATTTGCAGGTCTTTAAGGAATGTTTCTAGAAATTAGGTTTGCATGAGTTTTGTTTCATGGCTGAACTAGAAAATGAACACTTTTGAAGGTAGATGAGCCAAAAAGTCATCCTAGAGTTTCTCTCCCACAATATCAAAATATTTCTTCAGCTGAACCTAACTTTGTTCAGCCACAATTATTTGCTGAATCTTGCTGTTCATCTACCAAAACCAAATCATGATCCCTTTAAAACTCAAACATTTTAATACAATGATTTTATTTAAATTAAGTCCAAAAATATAAATTTCTTCAAACACTTGCTCCTTTAATTTATAAGGACGCAGAGTATTTGGATTTGGCTTTAGTTTCTAAATGCTTTAATTTCTTTCCTGTGTCCTTAACTATTTTGTTTCTCTGTGAATTTATTGTATACCAAAAGATTTTGAAACACATCTCAGTAGGTTTAAAAAATTAGTTGCAGCATATCCTGATTTTACTATTTACTGTTGCAGTCATGTTCAGTCTTGATCTCCCTGTATTCCTACTATTGTAGAAAATCTTGTTGTAGGAGTCCTGCAGTATTCTTTCTCTCTGTATTCTTGGTGAGTGGAGAAGGTAGTGACTGTTTATTTATTCTCTGCCTCATCCTTTACTGGGGGATGCCTTTTCACTTACAACAAATAAACAAATGAACATAACAGGGAAGGTACTAAATTTAGTATCATTCTCTCTACCTCTTGTTTTGTACCTTCAGTGAGTGCCTGCCAGAAGTAATCCTGAGAATGTTAAATGAAATTTTTCTCAATTTATTACAGAAGTTCAGTCTCTGTGCTCTTTTTAAAATGTTGACAAATGGCTAACTCTAAAAATGTCTTTTGTTTTTCAGATGATCGGAGTCAAACTGTTCTCCCATTAGTGAAATCATTCTGTGAAAAATCCTTCAAAGCAGATGAATCTATCATAGTTTCTTTATCTTTCCATTTAGGGAAACTGTGTAATGGATTATATGGTATGATTTAATTTCTTTTTACAAAGCTTAAAAATGAGGGAAGATTGGAGAATTTGAACCCATTGGAAAATACCCAGATTTGAGTTTATCAAATGAAATGGTAGTTAGATTTTGGAAATTTCCTCTTAGGGTGACTATCTATGTATTACTTACTGTTGTTTTTCTTTTGTTTAGACAGGGTCAAAGACGGAAACATGGTGTTTTATCTTTATTGGTTTGACTGATTTATTTGGGTATTCTGAAGCCTGTGATTTGTATGATTGAATTTTTGAAGCTAGAAACCTTTCAAAACATCATGATGTTAACTTTGCTCATTTCTGTGCTTGATCTCCTTTTTAAGGCACAGGGCAGAGTGTGGTCCATAAGGAACTTCAGGGGAGAGAGGAGATCTAATGCCATGTGGATTCCCCAGCTGCAGCTGAGTCCAAATCGATACTCATAATTTTTATACCCATCATTTTTGCTTGAATTTTCACTTGATCACAGCACAATATTTCTTGATAATTCTGCCCACCATGTTACCTGTGGAGGAATGGAACAGAATCATGGCTTTACATTATAATTTTTCCCATGACTTTTAAAACCTTTGATCTTTCCTGCAGCTCTTTAAAATGAGTCTTCATGATTATGTTAAAGACTATCAAAGTGACCATTGCTTCACTACAGATTACTTGAAATGGTTGTTCCACGGTGTTAAAATGTTATTTCCAGAAGCAGAAGGCTAGGACAGTACATCCTGTGTTTATCATGTTTTTCCAGTCTTCTTTTCTCTACGTTGAATGACTAATTCCTGAACTTTCCATCTGACAAATTAATATTTTTCTTGAATTTTTGCACCTTAGGACAGTTGAATCAAGTGAAAGGGTTACTTCACATGTCTTGCCAGATATATTGCTGTTCACAGTTTTCAGTATGAAAAATTGCCTTTTAAAAAAAATCAAGCAGCTACTTAGTCTTTCTCTATCCTGCCCTTGTGCAGGTGATGCAGATCAGGCTAAGCATGGCACCTTACTGCTGTTTAATGGAATTATAGTCTAAAGTTTTAAGACCATATGTCCAGTTACTGAAGATCATTTCAAACTGTCTTCTGAAGAATAAGCAGTCTCTGTCCTTGTTTGGTGCTTTCAGAAATCAGTGAAAATACTGAATAGTACCACTAGGATAGAACTTGCTTTCTACAGTTTCCTGTCTTGTCAGTAGTATATGGGTAATTTTCTCTTAGTTGTTTTTCCAAGCAGTTCTTGGAGCATTTTTGTAGTTTTTAATTATCATTTCTATTCCCTTGTTGTGAAAGTCACGACCTTTACATCTTTTGTTTCACAGGTCCTGTTATCCCATACTAGAAGGAAATTGAATCAGTTTGACAAGTTTTCCTTTTGCCATGTTGGCTACTGCTATTATTTTTGGGGGAGTGTATGTGTGTCTGTGTTGGTATTTAATAGTAGATTTTTTTATTTCTTTTTTTGTTTCAATTTTTTCAAACATGTGAAAGCAATCTCCCTTACCTAATTATATGGCTTGTCCTTTCCCTCTCCAGCTATTAAATGTCAGTACCACTTCAGCCTTTTTCTATTCTATTATTTGACTTATTTAAGATTTCAACAGCTAGGACTTAAGCATTTTGAATGCTGGAATGAAGCACATCTGACTGCACATTTTGAAAACCTTTTGTTTAAGATCCACTGACCTGTTGCTTCTCTACTTAAAGCTTGAATCTTTGTCAGAGTTATTAATTTTACTCAGCCTGATGATACTAGTGGAATTTGAAAAAGAAAGTAAAATTATTTAGCATTTCAGCCTTCTTCATACACTGATAGCTTTCCTCCCTCGCTGAAATAGAAATTTGAGCCTTTTCTTGATTATTCTCTTATTACTGATGTACTTGTAGTTTTTGATTCTTCTTAGAATCATTAGTTCATTAGAATCACTAGTTACATTCCAGTTTGTTCTGAGTACTTGTGTGTACTGATTATCTGCTAGATTCAATGGGGGTAGGAGGGGGAGGAAGGATAAAATCAAGATATTTGATAGATTTTAAAATAAGATTTGCTTGGGTATATTATTAATGACATTTGTAATGAGGAAAGCTTGTTGTTTTGTTTGGTTTTTTTGGTTTTTTTTCTTTTTTTGAGGCATTTTTACTCCTGAACAGCACTTGCGGTTTTTGGAATTTTATAAGAAACTTTCCACACTGGGTTTACAGCAGGAAAATGGGCATAATGATAATCAACTACATCTGCAAACTCTGGAACAGGAAAAGAAGTATATTTCAGTGAGGAAGAACTGTGCTTACAATTTTCCAGTAAGTAACAGTAATTGAAAGTTTAATATTAATTTGTGTTGTGCATATAGTTCACTGAATAGGACTGTGCAAGTGATAGAGGACTTATTCCCAAATTGTTCATTGTTAGTTAGATTTTAAGTCTTTTCTGCAAAGTTTCAATTAGTGAGGTTGTCCAAAAGAGTTAGCAGGAAATACTGTTCTTTGCAGACCCTCAGAAAATTATCGGCAAATTTTGACTGAAGAAATGTTGGTCTAAGAATTTACCAGTCTTATTCTCTCCTACACATTTTCTCCAAATGTTTAGCACAAAGGATTTGGGAAAAGGTCTGTGAAACAGAGTCTCCAGTTTAAAACCACTTGAATCTACACTTTCACATTCACTGTGTGTCACTTCATTATAGGGAGTTGGAGATTGAAACTGAATACTCAGGTTGATGTTTTACTCATCTTCCTGCCTGAGTACAGAAAGTCTTTTCAATTTTATGTGAGGTCTTTAAATACACCAGTCATATTTCTGTAGATCTACTTTATATTTTGAAATTTGCATTAGTATTCAATGAAAACATGTTTGCACCAAGAGCCAGTAGACAACTATTTTTCCTTCTGCCTTTTAAAGGCAAGCACACTGTATGTAGATAGACATCTATTGATTTATTTGAGCAAAACCAAGGTATGTACAAAGACAGTCATAGTGAAATTCAAATTCCTGCTTTGCTGCTTGCTGAAGTGTTCATTGTTTTTGAAGTACCTATTTTGCAGTTTTTGCTAGAATACAGAAACGTTAACAATATTTATAAATCTGAAGTTTTTTATCTCATAGTTTCAGTCCTTATCTTCAGAAAAACAGCCTGCAGCATGTCTGGAAGATAAATAAATTTGGTTTAGTTCTCAACTCTGGATTTTGTCTGGTGCCTGTGTTTTAACAAGGCTAGCAAAACCTCCACACTTCCTTCTTAAAATAACAATCTGTTCTCTCTGAAGTTCATCTGATAATCTGTGGTAGTGTCATCCTTTAGCTGTGTTGTTAAAAAAGGACTTTATCCTTCCACAGGCCATGATTGTTTTTGTGGATCCAAAGAACTTCCATTTAGAACTTTATTCTATTTTCTTCTGCCTTTGCCATGACCCCGAAGTTTCTGTCAGATATACCATGGCCGTAAGCTTCTTTGAAGTAAGTCTTCTCAAACTCACCTGGATTTATTTTGTTTTGTTTTCTTCTTTAAGTTTACATTTGTGACTGCTCAACCAAAAAATAAAAGACTTGAGAAAATGTATTGAAATTATTTAGTTCGTCAAGGGTGTTCAGTTCCTTCTAACCTCTGTGTACAGCCCATATACACACATCATGTTATTTAAATTGTGTGACATTTGGCTACAAGAGATTACTGCTAGGTCAAATTGTAAGAAGCAAAAGGTGGAAGAAACTTTTGATGATCTAGTACCACAAACATAAACAAATGTTTATGTAACTATAATATTTGAAGTTTTCCAATAGTATTAGAGAACAGACAAATGGGAGAAAGGAAATTCTCCCTTTTCTGCCTGAAAACTCTTAGAACTGTAGTTTGCTGGTGTAAGTAAGGAATGTTTATGTGGAACAAATCTAAATGAAATGCTCAATTTAATATGAAACTTCTTGGAAATTTATGCAGATGTAAGAGCATATGTATTCTTATATTTCCATTCAGCTTATATAAATTCTACTCTGTTATTTTCAAAAATTTAAAAAATGTAGAAATGCATAGGTAATATTAACTATATGGAGTGAATACCAGAAATTAAAATACACTCTCCTGAATATAGAAACCAATATAGGGAAATCTTCAATGTTTTCATATTCTTTCACTGAGAATCTTTGTGTTTCAGTCTTTGAGTTCAGCTTTGATCCATTTTGTTGCTGGGGAAATTGATAAATTAAGCATTTTTTTGAAAATATTTAAATGAATAGTAGAGGGGAAAATGGCTTTATTTCCACCACTGTAAGAAAGATATATGGATTTCCATACGTCTTGTTACGTATTAATGCCTTGTTTTAATGAATGATAGTCCAACCTAATTGTTGAAATTGTAAAATTAGCATCTAATTCTGCATAATATTTTGTTTTAGCTGTATAACACTATTAAGGTACTACCTGAATATAAGGAAAGTATTTTAGCTCATTTAAAGAAACTGTAAAATTACACCTTGGCCTAAATGTACATTTAGTTCTCATTGGTTTAATTTTAACAGATTAACTAGGCAGCCATGTGACAGACAAAAATGAGTAATTTATGTCATTCCCTGCTTGCTGGATTATTTTCCAAAAAATAAAAGTCCTTGAAGCCATTTCCTTAAAGCTTCATCTTGATTGGAAGTAAGCTCTTATTTTCGATTGGCTTAAAAAAACATGAAAAAACATCATCTAGATATTTATTGTGGCAAAAAAATCCCATTCCTCAAGTTTTTGTTATGTTTGCTATAAAACCTTTTTAATAGCATGGAGATGGACTGCTAGTGTTTTTTAAAAATTTACATGAGACTTATGAATCACATAAAGAAAAGAAGTAAGGAACCTTCAGGTGGAAGGTTGGGGAAACTTAAAATCCAGCACAGGCTAAGAAAATTTTGCGTTTTATGTTCTGTAAATTATACAGCATGCTGACTCTTAACTCTCCTAATTTACAACATTTGAATATTCCACAGTGAAATATCTGCCCTTGCAGTGCAGCCTAAAACATTTTTGGTAAATGTGAAATAGAGTTAATTCTAAAAGCATGTTTCATAGGTAGATAATTGACTCATGTTATTTGTATAAGCATATTTTTAATGTGATCAGTGGGAAAGTACACAACTTTAGGAAGCTGGTATTAAACATTTTTTTCTTCATGCTTGCTGAAAAGTAAGTGGTGTTGTGCCATAGAACTAAAGAATATTTCACCTTGCTATCTTACTGTTATTTTTTAGGTTGCTAAGCTTTTAAATTCTGATGTGTATACAATACATAAAGAACTGGTTACGCTATTACAGGATGAGTCACTGGAGGTAATTCGCTTTTATTGGAACTTTTCTGGCTTGTTACATCGAGGCAGATTACTTCATGTTTAATAACTCTTCACTGACAATTAGTAGTAGAGTAACAATTTGAAATGATTAACAGCTTTTACTTCTATTGCACAGACTGTGCATAAAGATGCCAGCCTTCTGTGAATAAAAAGGAGGAAAGTAGGAAGGTGTTTGAATTTAGTAATACCACACTAAATTCACTAGCTTTTAAAAATACTAATTCTAAATAGTTTTAATTGCTGTATTATTTTTTACCATACAAACTCTAAAAAGCTTTCGGTTTGGTACTATGTTAAAATAATAGTTGATAGGATTCAAGGTCTTTTGCTTTGTTTTATTTTTATTGTCCAATTGAAGAGGAGATAAAGAAGTTGTCTTTGGTTTGAAGATCAAGATTTATGGAAAGAGTTTTAGTCCCAGGTAACTTGCATAGAACATGAATCATTGAAAATAACGTGAAAAGTTATATTGGAGTTAACATAGTTATACTTTATTGGATGGAAAAAAGAGACATATTTATATTAGAGAAAAAAATCACCATTTCCTCTGATACTGGTTACTCCAGTAATAGGTTAGACTATTCCAGTTAGAAAACTTGTCTGATCACATATATAAAAACAGAGACTGTAATACTTATATTACTTACTGCATTAAAATATCAGTCATCTATGCAACTAATCAAAGCAACTAATCTCCATTCTTTTTCAACATGAGAGAGCAGTAACTTGAAAGGTGTCAGCAGGGATATGTTGGTGGGAGTTGAAAATGGAGTTCATTTACAGACCTCTTTCATGCAGCCTTTCTTTAAATAGGTATTAGATGCCCTAGTAGGTCACCTTCCTGAAATCCTTGAACTAATGACTAATGGAGGAGAAAACAATGGATCAGAAAGCAAGGTGGGTATTCTCATGGGGTTTTTAAAATTTTATTTCTAAATGAAGGTAGTAAGAAATTTCAGACAAAATTTGTAGGAAAAGGCTTTCATGATTAGTTTCTGCTTTGGAGAAATAGGAAGTTTCTGTTTGTTTTTTTTAATTTTGTTGATTTTATAAACTTTCATATTAAAAAAAAACTGGAAATGTTAAAGTTAATATGAAAATGAACACTTTTGCATTCTTTTTCTAATAACCACAGTTATGTGAAAACAAAATTTGGTTTCATGGTAAGGGAACAATAGCTAATACATGTTTTAAATCTTTTTTCATACTGATGTGTGAATGGCTCATGGGTGTCATTTTCAGGCTTCTGCTAGAAGGAAATCTATTTCCAGGAGTAAAGACACTGAATTAAGAGATCTGTACTCAGCTCCCATCTTTTCTAATTTAATTGTATATTGCTCTGGATGATGGTCTATTCCATGACTCCTCACCTCTAAGATGGAACAGAAAGGATGCTGGTTTTGAGCATATTTCCTAAATGTATGGATAAATTGAGATTTTGCAGCAATATAAGAATTGAAATTTATTTTCTTTTACAGACAGAACTAGACAATGTAATTTAAAAATTTGAATTTGTCAGATGTTTACAGCTGTAAATATATATAACATATAGCAAATGCAATGTCAGGTGTGGCAGTCTATTTCATTTTTCTTAGTGCTAAAGGGAATTTAGCTTGGCTACTATGAATTCTTTGCCTTCTACTGAGAAAAGGTGCATAATTCCTACTAAAATTAATTCCTACTAAAACTAATTAGGGGATTGAGAACAATAACTGCTCAGATAAGGAGGATAAAAGAGAAATGGGATTCATTTGGTTTGAAAAAGAGAATGCTGAGGAGAGCTGGCATAATGGTCTTAATATCTATAAAAGGATGTTACAAAGAGAACGGTGTTTGGTTTTCCTTTGTCAGGAGAAGGGATTGGAGATGAAAGTGTATTTAGGTAGTGAAATAGCTTTTGGATTAGTCTTCCCTTCTTATATTGTTGTGATTAGCTTTTTAAACATAGTGACAAGACACACAGCTTGAAAATATAAAATTATTGTTTATCCTTCTGCTTCTAGTTACTTTCTATTCCTGACTTGATTCCTGCATTAACAACAGCAGAACAGAGAGCAGCAACTTCTTTAAAATGGAGAACGCATGAGAAGTTACTACAAAAATATGCATGTCTCCCTCATATCATACCAAGTGATCAGATCTATTACCGTTTTCTTCAAAGGATGTTGACAATCATTTTGACAAATGTGAGCTCACCTGTTGCTTTCTCATTTGTTTTTATTTGTTAATGCGTGTTAGACCACTAGATATTTGCTATGTGTAGTACTTCCTGTGTTATAGAAATCTTAAAATACTATCCCTTTCATATGGTATATCAAGCTGTGGCATTTTTTCTATGAGAATTTTCACTGAATACTTGCCCCCGTTTGAGGAGCAAAATTTGGATTGACAGTTTTCCTCCTACCCAAGACTTCTTCCTTTCATTGTGCTCATCATCAGTTTGTTTCTAGTTAAATCAAAACTTTTTCCTCTGAAATATACCTTTTTTTTCCTGATTCCATACATTACATTGTGTTTGTTCTTTATGGAAAACTCCATTTCTAAAATAAATTATCATTTAGAGCTATTAGTCTGAAATTTTACTGGGTTAATTCAAGAATAAAACTGTTGTGAGAGAAGATGATGTAAGTTTTATTTCTAACACTTGCAATACAGAAGTTGCCTTGCAAACATGAAATATTTTACAGTGCTTATAAAATAGTTGAATCTAAAAGTTGGGCAGAAGGAATAAAGCAGGTATCTCATGAACTGGCCAAACTTCCTAATTCTCCCTTACAGTATGACATTTATTTCAAAATTTATAAAGTTAGTCTACTTTTTAGCTATTTTTTTTCTAATTCTATATATGTTTTTAGTCATACTCCTTCAGATATGTTCAATTGTGTTCCCTGCATTTCTTTCAAGAATGTCCTGCCAGTCCAAAAAGCAGCTGCTCGGACTCTCTGCGTTTATTTGCGCTACAATCGCAAACAAGAACAGAGACATGAGGTTATCCAGAAACTGATCGAACGTAAGATGATCTTTCCTCCATCACTGAGAAATTAAAGTTAGTTTTGACTGAGGATCTATTTACAGTTACATTTATTCAGTGTAATTTCCTTTCATCATTGGAGGGACTACGCTTGGAAGACATTCAGTTGCTCATATTATCACCAGCAACATGTACTGCGCATACGTGAGGAATATATCTGGAGCTTATATAAAGGGATTGGGGAAGAGGCAATGCAGAAACTGATAATATGCCAAGACCTCTCCAACCCTACTTCTTATAGCCAAAATTACTAAGTTCTGGGTACTGCAATATAGAAAGCAGAGTTCCTTTGTAAGAAGTAGAATTCTTTAGAGGCTTCAGCATAAGTGCTGAATAAATCTCAGAAATTTATTTATTTATCAGTCACCTAAAGTTGATGTTTTGGTGTATGCTATGTGTTTTAAAGATAGCTTGGAAGTTTTAACAATTCCCATTAACATTCCTTAATGTTTACACAATAATTTTGATACTCCTGTGACATGATTTGAAAGGCATACAGGGCTTTGTTTAACACAGTAGCTAGTTCACTTTTTCTAGTGATCACTGACAGAATTAATTGAATTCAGAATCTTAGTTGTTTACTAAAAGAAAGAACTGAGGCTGAGAATTTTTTTGATGACTGTGATTGTCATCTTCAAGTTAAAGGTCAACCTGTGAAATGTTTTCTCTTTGACATTGAAAACTTGACAGATAACATCTGCAAATTTTTATTTTCCAGAATTGGGTCAAGGAAAAAGTTACTGGAACAGACTTCGGTTTTTAGATACTTGTGAATTCATTATGGAACTGTTTTCAAAATCATTCTTCTGTAAATACTTCTTTTTACCTGTGCTTGAACTTACACATGACCCGGTGGCAAATGTCAGGTATGAAGAATATGTAACAGTGTACAGAAAAAAAAAGCTTTAAGTATTTTAAATATTTATACATATAAATACTTTATATATAAATATATATAAATAAAATGTATAAATACTTTAAATATTATATTAAGAAATACTGTTAGAAGTTTTACATTTTGCTTAAATAGTGGGACTTGAATAAAAACATAAAGAGCCTTCAGGATGACCAGTATTAAAGATGCAGGGGAGTATGGGAATGGTGCTATAAAATCCCAGAAGCAGGTCAGTTCTGAGTGTTTGAGAGACTGATCAAAAGCACCAGGGTTTGGGAGTGAAAGGAACAATGAGGCAGAGGAGAGCCAGCAATAGATGGGAAGAAAGTAATATAGTGTTTCATGGGTATAAAGAGAGAATGCAACTTCAATCTCCATTAATTCCCATCCATTTCATTGTCACTGTATGTAAAGTGAAACACTCAAGCAATTATTTCAGTGGTCTGAACTAAACAATGTAAAACAGGTTTTATGTTATGGAAAAGGGTATCTACTTCATTGTTAAGGAAAATTAAAAAATAATACAGTAATATTATGGAATTTGATCTCTTATTCATTTTTATACGGTGTTTTTCCTGTTATTTTTGTAGTAACTGTTTTTTCTTTGTTTTCTAAACAGATAGGGACCAGGTAGTTATTACCAATAGGAAAGTCGATTTTTTTTTTGTCACATATTTTGTGTGATTTTATGCTTTTAATCTTGTTTCTGATGTGTGTGATTCATGTTGTCATCATTAACATATCTGAACTTCTAATATTAATGCTGCACAGGGATTTATGTAAGCATAATTTGCACATACATGTGTGCACTCAGTAAGCTTTGCCACATACTGTTTATTACTAAGTGAAACTGTTTAAATAGACATTGTGTTTAGTATAACTGCCAGATTTCAACTCAGCAGGATCCTAAAAATTAAATCAGTTTGTATGATGACGAACATTCATGTCTCATGTCATTAAATTAAGAGGATTATATCAAAACAATAAACTAAATTTGTATATAATCTGAAAGAGCTTATTCCTTTTAGCAAATATTTTAATTAAAAGCTCTATTGATACAATATTAAAATTTAATGGAAACTTGAACTAACTTGCAAGCTGACATTAAAATTCATTTTGTCTTAATTCTTTTCTGGATTGTTTTTGTACAAAAGAAATGCACTGTCTCCAATGGAGTGAAGTTTACAGGCTAGACACTGTTAGCTGATGGTTTTAAAACAGACTTAGGGACGTACTATTCTGGATTTCTACAGTGTGGTGTAACTCATGGTAATGGGAAATTGTGACTAATTTGTGATTAAAATATTTTAAAGATATAAAGATGGTGAGATTAATTAATATGAGAAAATTTTGACTGTTATTATTAGAGTTACCATGTCTGGCAAAGGATTGTCTCTGATCCAAAGCCAGTTGACTCTGAGAGAATATAACCGTATATTGTTCTTGGTGTTTCTTTTAAATCTATTTCTGCAGATTAAAACTGGTCACTATTACATGCTATTGCAGTCTGATCAAATGAAGGAATTTTGATTTCCTCAGTTGCATGAAATATTTTTAATTTAATCTTCAGATTATTTTGTTGATAATGAAATAAAAAACAATGAACACATTTTTTATAAAAACAGTTTAGAAACAATATCTCAGAATCAAGGGAATGAACCACAAAATTGTTTAGGTTTGACAAGACTTTTAAGACCATCAAGTCCAACCATTAGCCTAAGACTGCTGAGTCAACCACTAAACCATTTCCCTGAGCACCACATCTATTAAATACCTCTAGGGATGGTGACTCCACCACTGCCCTGGGCAGGCTGTTCCAGTTTGTCCAGACAAACATTTTGGTAAAGAACTTGCTCCTGATAGCCAATCTAAGCCCCCTTGGAGCAACTTGAGACCATTTCCTCTTGTTCTATTTCTTGTTATTCAGGGGAAGAGACCAAACCCAGCAATACACCCTTTCAGGTGGTTGTAGAGAACAATAGATTCCCCCTGAACCTCCTTTTGTCCAGGCTGAACAGCCCCAGTTCCCTCAGCTGCTCCTCATCAGAGCTGTGCTCCAGACCCTTCCCCAGCTCTGTTGCCCTTCTCTGGACACACTCCAGCCCCTCAGTGTCTTTCTTGTCTTGAGGGGCCCAGAAGTGAACACAGGATTTGAGGTGTGACCTCACCAGTGCTGGGTACAGGAGGACAATCCCTGCCCTGCTCCTGCTGGCCACACTACTGCTGGCACAGGCCAGGATGCCATTGGCCTTCCTGGCCACAGCTGGGCACAGCTGGCTCATGTTCAGCTGCTGTCAAATGGCACCCCCAGGTCCTTTTCCACCAGGCAGCTTTCCAGCCACTCTGTGCACTCTGTCCCCAGCGCTGTGGGGCTGTCGTGAGTGACCCAAGGGCAGAACTGGCACTTGGCCTTGTGGAACAGCACAAGCAGGGTCAGCCTCCAGACATAAACAGGAGGATAAGGAAGGGGAAAGAAGGGCTTTCTTTTCTGTCTGTCTGATAGACTTTCATCTTTGCAGTTGTATGGAATTGCAGTAACATGATTTTTGGTGAGACTTTGTACCAGATTTCCAGGGTATTTAGGTAACTGATAAACTTAGGTGTGCAGATCACTTGGAAAATCTGGACGTCTCCTTATTTTTCTAGATTAAATAAACCAGCCCAGACAACCAAAGATGTTTATGGACTGTATTCATGATCTGTAGAGATTTTTTTGAAAACAGTATATCTGGAAACAACACAGAAGCAACAAACACATATGAAAAATAAGACCACCTTAATTAATTATTTTGTGTCAAATGCTAGCATGCAATACATTGAGAATTAATATCATATATTAAGCATCTGCATCAAAAGATGAATATTTGGGTTGTTTGTTTGGGGTTTTTTTTTGTAGAATGAAGCTATGCTGTTTGTTGCCAAAAGTAAAATCTACTCTGAAGATTCCCACTGATAAACATTTACTTCAGCAGCTGGAATTATGTATAAGGAAACTTCTCTGTCAAGAGAAAGACAAAGATGTCCTGACTATTGTGAAAAGAGTAAGCATTTTTCTTTTTAAGCAGCATTTAATCTTGGGTTTATCACTGAAAGTTGAAATTACTAAATTTATGCTTTCTCTTGATTTTCTCAATGTAAGAACAGGAGATAAAAAAATTCCATTGTCTAATATGTAATTTTGAACAATTAAAAGATGATGTAGTACAGTACATTCTGTGAAATTTAGGAGAGTTGATGTTTCCTTGGTTGCTTATATTGCATTATTTTGTAGTGATTCGAATTCAGTATTTTGTCTCAATGACCATTTATGAAAACATAGCAAATGACTAGAGAAAGATTGAGTGTTGATTCTAGTAAAACTCCTCAGGTCTGTGAGACAGAGGTATGTTGTTAGTCTATGTATTTTACAATATACAGACAAAGCATTTTCAGGATTTTAAAATGTTATAAATGTGTTTTTAAAATGTGAATATTCAAAAAAGTACATTTTTAAGGAATGCCTGTGCTTAGTTTCAAATTTAGAAACCATGAAGTGAAATAGCTCAAGTGGGTGGCTTCCTTACAGGGCCAGTCTGCAGGAGAGACTGGGTGAACACCTGTGTGGAACTTTCAGAGTTATACACAGATTCCTGGGTTGCTTTTTTCACTCCTGGTTCCTAAGACTGTGCTAAAGCTATTCTTGCTGTGGTGCTTCTTTGAATGTATTTTGATTTCCATATAGATATTCTGTGAACCTTTCATTGTGAGTCTCAGCAGGGGTCTGAGAATTCTCTCTGACACTTTTAAACTGCATTTGTACCACAAAAATAAAAGCACAGGATTAAAATATTTAGTAAAAAAAGACAATTTTTTACTTCAAAGTGTGTCATGCTATTGAGTAATAATAAATAACATTTTAATCTTCTTTATAGACGGTGTTAGAATTGGACAGAATGGAGATCTCTGTAGATGCTGTAAGTGCTTACTAACTTTAATGCTTATCAACTACTCTTAGTTTCCATTTTCATGTAGCGATTTTTTATTTTTATTTATATTTTATTTTGAAGTTTCAGAAAAAGTTTTATGAAAATGATTTGTTGGATCAAGAAAAAGAGAGACAAGAACATCTCCTTTTGGAAATGGTATATTTTATCAGTGCACTGTCATTTTTAAATAGTTTGTACCTACATATTAATGAGACAATAATTTTAAGTTAGGGGAAATGCATATTTTGGAGAGATGTGATGGGTTCATAATCTATGGGTGGTTTCATTTTACACTTTATAATAGGGTTAAGTCCTTCAAAGTAACATGTAATATTTTTTGTTTGCTACCTAAATTTTGGTGTATCAATTAGAAAAGCAAACTTGAGTTTCTTGAGAAACACCATGTATAACATGATAAACTGATTAATGAAACACCTCAGAATTCACAAACAGCTTCCCTAGGCAAAGAAATTAATCTCATAACTTCTTTTGTCCCAAGGAACCTGAAGAATATACTATGTTACAGGCTTTCCTATTAGCCAGGAAAAAAGAGAAAAGCAAAAGGTGCAGTAGGCACTTCAGCACACAGCTTATATCTTCACCACATACTGCATCTCCACGAAGCCTAGATTGGACTGCTGCAGTCCCCCCATCATCTGCTGCCTCCCCTCCAGCCTGAGGTGGGAGAAGCTGAGCAGCTGATAGGATTCAGAAGATCCTAAAATTGTTAGCATGGTTCCTCTGACTTGTAGTAAATGAATTTCTTCGTAGTAAAGCCAGAAGAGGTTAAAGAGTGTTTCAGAAATGTCATTGTTTCCTTTGTTTGTGGTCCACTTTGATGTCAACAGATATTGCAGGTCAGTATGAGCAAATATAGCTGACCCACAGACTTCCTGCCACTTCCCACTGTCTCAAGGCAGAGGTACAGCTTTGTTCTCAGGACCTGCATACACTCACTCCAAGTCTTGAACTTAGCTCTAGCAATCTTCAGGTAGATACAGTTAATGCTTTTGTGCTGAAAGGATTTGTGTGGGGCAAAATAGCCTCCAATATGCTCTGTGTTACCCTGTATTATGTGATGACATCAAATTTTACCTGTTTCTACAGCTGTACTTTAGAAAAGCACCTGAATTTTTATGGTATAGGCCACTGATATGTGCAACCCTTCTGTATCACAAAGGCCTCTTTAAGCATTGTCTGTGAGAGACATGCCTTTGGGGAATGTGAGATGGATAAAGTGAATTGTGACATGTTGCAGTCCCAAACAGATGAAGATGAATTCAACCCACTTAAATGTATCTGACTGCTAAAGATTTTAATACTCAATATGTTAGTAAGTTTCCTTAAGTAGCTGAAGCTATTTTCCAGCAACCCTGACCTGAATTATTACCTCTTTCTTTTCTTGAGTAGTAATTAGAAATACATGAAAAAAAATATTAGAAATTAGAAAAAAATAGAGCAATTATGGTTCACTTAACAATCTTTATTATGAAAATGGTATAGAAAACAAGCTAATATTGTATAGTTTTTTTAAGTTGGAGTGATATCTATTCACAAGTAGAATATACTTTTAGGCTAGGTAGTATTACAGAATGGCAAATAAATTCCATGAACCTGAACAATTTTACATAGTTGATTTTGTTTTTCATAAAGATTTATCAACTGTAGATGTTAATTTTAGATCTTCATAAGGTTTGAATATATGTGACACACCTTAAAATTTAAGAAAAAAATTTTCATTGAATTGGATGAAATAAAAGTGCTGTCTGTTCTATTTTCAGTGTGTCTGTGTTACAGAAAATTTTTACACTGCCAGCTGCCAATGTCTGTATCTTTTTTGAGTATAAAAGAACCCAAAAGCCAGGCATAATTTTAATTATAAGCTACAGATGTGAACTTCAACTCTGCTTTATTCAGACTGTGGTTTTTAAATGAGATACTGCTTTCTTTCTGTGCTACTTAATTGGTTGTCTGGATATTCATCAGGGATTTTACTGCTAGCCTGAGAGAGTAGAAATGAACTGTTATTTGCAAACACAATTTATTTACTTTAACTTGAGTAATGTCTAAGAAAATTATTTATTCTTTTAGGAACAATTAGAAAAAGAGAAACAGAAAAATGGAGGAAGGTCTGCAAATATTAATGATAAAATGTTTGAAAAGAAGCGTAAGTTTGCTTATTTGTTTACATACATGTTTATGCATGCTTCAGTCTTTTTCAAAGGTAGTAGAGGAAGGAGCAAGAAAGAGACACTTTATAAAATAATTAGAGATGTAGAAATTGGAAATATTTTTTTTTTCTATATGTTTCTGAAGTTATTTATGAAAAGATGCCTCATATTATATATAATATATAATAATATATATGTTTTATTTTGGCTTTATTAATAAAATACATTACAGTTTTATTTCCCTGTTATTTTTCATTTTGGGATATAGTGTAAGTACTGTGCTATTTCTGAAGTGCTGGTACTACTGATTTAGATATTATTACTCTTTGGTCCAGGATTGTGATATGTTATGTCCTCTCTTTTATATAAATTTAAGTTTTAAGAGGGAAGGGATTATACTGGACTTTTTTCTTATTTTCTTTTCTATAGGTAGAGACAGTAAAACATCATCAGTGTTGGCAAAAAGTATCAATCTCTCTATTTCTGGAAGCTCTTGTGGTACATCAGCAGGTAAGAACTGTTCAAAAACTCACCTGGAATACTGATCTCACATCATCAGCTTAAACCCCAGGAAAGCTGCTCTTGACATCTGTGGACCCAAGTTTCACCTACTGCACAGAGGAAAAGATTCTTCTCCTAGAACTGAATGTATTTTCTATGGTTTTTAGTTTAGTTTTACTCTTTGGTATATAAATAATGACCTAAGGTTTATTTTTTTTTCAGTTGAATTATTTAAATCAGCTCATTCCTTCAATTACCGTAGGTTGACAGAAAAATGTATTTAAAGGTGTTCTTAATTATTGAGGAAATGCAATATTCGTATTAGAAAAATGTTCTTTATAATTTTAGGCAAAGAAGAAAAAAAATCCAAGCTGGTTCGAAGCCAATCTTTCAGTACTCAAGTACTGCATCCAAAATACAGCAACATAGACAAGTGTCCTAAGTATGTTTACAATCTTCATTGCTTACCTCATAGGCAAATGTGTGCTAATAGCTTTTATGAAATTAATGCTCATGAATCTCTGAAAGTAGTGATGTGCTCACTGAATTGTGACTTATATTTTCAGCTTTCTGTCTAATTGATTAACTGAGGGAAGAAAAATCATACATGGCATGCTGAAGCCTAGAAATGGTTATGAATTCCTTTTAAGTTAATATATGCCACCTTTTATCATATATTAAAAATAATTTTCAATGTGAATAGCTAAATCTAATTTTCTACATTTCTTAAAGAAATTTCAGCATAACTTTCTCATTTAATTCTTTCATATAAACTCAGAAATAGCCTCCAATACTATTAAACAGGATGATACAATTGAGAGGAACACTTTTGGAAATAACCAACTTAGATTTGTTTTGTTTGGGTTTTTTTTAAAGTAAAAGTTCTGCTACAGGATATACATCTTCAATACCAGGAATGGGAAAGAGTTGTATGTTATCCTTTAGTGGTAAGTAGGTTATTTTAATGTATTTTACTTCAGGTTTTTTTGTGTGCATGTTGAATACATGGACCCAATTAGACAGGCATGCTCTAAGATGTCATTCTCCTAAAGAAAGTAAAATTAAAGATATCCAATAGGTTTGGGCATTAAGTGCTAGTCTAGTAAGTGTATTTTTCAGATTTGTTTTCCCCTACATGTTTGTTTTAAGTCATATTTAAGAATACTAAAAATAGACTGAGTTTCCCATGTCCTGGTTGGAATTTCAGATACCATAAAAGGTTGGGTTTGCAGTTTTTCCCCACCTATTTTACATGAGGAAAATAAATATTACATAAAACTTCTACTGAATTAACTGTTTGCAGTTGTGTTCGCTAAATTTTAAAGAGTTTGGATGATTAAAGATAAGATTGAGATGAATGGCTTCCAAGAGAAACCTGTCTTTCTATTCACCAATAGGCACTAGGCAATTAAATTACATTAAATAGCTAAATTTTAATCAGCTAAAGACTGGCCCAAGAAATCACACGCTTTACATCCATTAAATGTATTAATATTTTCTTTGAAAATGTGCATTCCAGTTATTTAGTGGGACTTTTTCATAAAAATACTTGAAGAAATGTTAAGTAGAAGCCATTCCATTAAAATTTTGGTTTACTCCTGTAGGAAATATGCCTCTATTGCCACTGGAAAACCAGCTCATTCTATTTACTTTCTGTGCACTGTTTTCAAGCAAAAATCTTTGTCTAAGCTGCCCCTCTGTGTTTCAGATGATTCATTCCGGACTCATTCTGCTGGTAATAGTGGGAATGCTGCCTTCCCTTCTAGTTGTTCTCGCAGCTTATTTAACTCAGCCAACCAAAAGAACAATGGCAATAAGGAGGGTCAGTCCCGAAAGATGAGCGTGTAAGTTGTTGACAAGGTGTTAAACTGAGCCCAGGGGTAACGTTTTCAAGGGGAACTCAAAAGAGCCATGTAAAATTAGGCCTGTATTTATCATACTTTTGCACATAGATTTTGAAATACTAAATTAGCAGGGTAGAAATGAGATGTATGCAATTATAAGTGTTTCTAAGATGGTGTTACCTTCTAATTAGTCTTTCACATTGTTTCTCCTGCACATATTTGCATTCAGCTGGTACATAATTGAGAGGGTGGAACGGGACAAAGTGAAGGTTTAGTGCCTTGCATATGTAATAACTACAGTCACGGTGATTTAGCTGCCTGTAGTTGGAGAAATAGAATGGAAGTATTTTTAGACTACTTAATTTTTAATTTTCCTTTTTTTGTGAACTTATATATGTTTATCTATTATTATTTAACAATTCTGTGATGAATCTTGAGACTTAGGATGAACTGGTACTGGTACTGGTACTTGTTATTAATGCTGCCTTCTTTGCCTTGCCATAGCCATTAAAAAAAACCACAAAAATTCAGTGCTAGGTATCACCCTCAGGCTGCTTTCCTTTAAAAATTAGCCTATGCTGTTCAGCATTTTGCAAGAACAAAATCAAAGATGCATTTTTTGCTCCTGTGCTAAAACTGTAAGTCATAGAAAATCACTGTGACATATACTTACCCAAATCTCTGTAGACTCTAGCAGCAAATTCCCTGCAGATTCCTTTTACACTATAACTAAATTACTGTCATTGGACTAGTTGTAATTTTGTGGGCTCACACTGAGACTTTTCTTTGCTAGCAGAGATTTGCATTTTTAGCCAAGGCAGAATGGCGAAAGGGAAGGAGCCAGCTACAGCAAGAAAGGGAATCTGGGAAAGTAGACTTCAATGTAACAGAAACTACAATGGGAAGCTAAGATAGGAAAGAGGAAACATACTGGTTTGCCAGCTATAAAGAGGAAACAATAGTGATGGTCTGTTTTGGTGAATTAAATGTCTGTATGAACATATTTTTCCACTTCTGTATCTACAGTTTCCTTTAAAAAACAAACCAAAACATCTCCCCAGCTTTTCTCAAGATTTTAAGTTAATAAAATTACTAAATTGTAAAATAAAGCACTCAAAAGTTTAACAAACAAAAGAAGAAATTCTCAGGACAGTATTTATTTAGCTCCTTGTGTACTTGATTTTTTTTCTGCTGGAATTCTACCATCTTTACTGTACAAGATAAATTATTTTCCAGAATGAACTCAAGCTTGCACAGTGGCCTATAGTTTTTAAAACTGCTTTTATAACGTAGAGAAGGTTGGAAGGAAAGTTGTGAACGCAGATGGAGTGTTTGTATTGAGTAAGTGGTTTCACAGGAATAGTACTTTAAGGTGCCAAATCACTTTGCCCTCTGTCCCTGTCTTTGACAGTGTCTAATGGCTTTTCTTAATACTACCCACAGTACTTCAGACTTTTTATAGGTGATCATTAGGGGGTCACTTATTTCAAAGTGCACCATTTCAAAGTCAGCAGTTAGATTAGTAGACATGCTGACATTTTCAGCTATCTATAAGGTAAATGGGGCATTTATCTTGAGAACATAAAATGTCGTGGGGTGCTACATAGTTTCAAAAATTAGGTGTGCTCAAAACCTCATTTTCTTTCATCGTAATCACTCTATGCCTCTTTTCCTCACTTTAAAACCAGAAAATTAGTTCAAATGTTGTAAATATTTTTAGCAATCTGTAGAAATTCCAATTATTTGCCATGCCACGAGGATTTGGGGAAAATGAATGGATTAATATTCCCAAAGCAGTAAGGTACAAAGATTAGCTAGATATATTTTTTAAATGACGTAAAACATTTCTAAATTTCAAAAGTTTTTCTGTCTTTCTTTTAAACTAAAACTGATATATTTTGTTTAAACACAGGAGGGATAGTAAAAGGCTCACACAGAGCAGTTTGCACTTTTGTCTTCAGGCAGGAGAATGGAATGTAAGAAACACAGCTTCAAGTCTCTATGAACCATTCCCAAATTAATACCTTAAGAGCAGAGTATTTGAAAGTAGGTATCTGATCAAACACAGTGATCTGGGTGCTTTGTCTGGTTCAGGAAGTCCCTGAACTGCATAGGGTCAGAAGCTAAAGACAGTATACCAGGGGAAGAAAAACATTTTTGGAGAAAGAAGAGGAAGCTTAAGATGTCCTACATTTAGTTCTGAATAAGAGTTGTAGTGTTCTGTGTTCCTTTGGGAAAAGATATCTCTCAAATAGGTCCAATGGCTGCTGTACTGTGGATTCAATTTCTCTTCTGTAAACTGACCCAATACTTAACTGTTTTCATGAGAAAATGAAGCAGTTCTATAAGGAGATATTAAAAGATACAGATACAGGAAGGTTTGATGGTAAATGCATTCAATCACAGATATGCATTGTTTAGTACAGTTTAGTTGTACTTTTTATCTTTTACTCAGGAAGTCAGGCCTGGTGCTAAATATATGCACACTTAAATTTAAAGACACCAAACAAAACAACAAAAATGTCAGTTTCAAGGAAGCATTATTTTCTAAGTTGAATGATGGAAAAACTGATATCCAAATACATAAGCAGCTGACAGAAATCACCCTGAGAGAAAAATTTGACAATTGTACAGTGAGAGGTACAATTGAATAGATGCTCATCAATGAGCATAATCTTTGGTGGATTGACTAAAGGAGAAAACTCGCTAAGGTGAGAAAATAATAATTGGCTATTTTTTTAGACTGTATCATCATGCAGGTTTATGTATTTGCTGATTAAAATTTGCACTGACCATCTCAATTCTGGAAAGTCCTAGCCTTTAGTTTGCTGACTCTGCAACTTGAGTAAGGTAACTTCTAATATGTTTCTTTTTTTAAGTAAATGTGTGAGCAATAACACAATAATGAAAATATAATGGTTCTTAGATTGAAGTGATATATGTTTGGTCAAAATACTGTTTAATTGCTGAAGCCTAGTATTTTCCATAAAATTGTTCTCCAGAATACTGGCAAATATTCACTTTTGACAATATAGTGCAGCTTGCAGGCATGAAGAATTTCTGATTTCATACATGGTAGTGCTCCAGGGTTTTTCAAAACTCAGAGTTACTTTGGTGGAGAACTGAGGTATTTTCTTAACTATGAACTAATTCATACGTGTGTGCCAATTAAAGTTTTATCTCTTTTTGAAAATACCATAGATGCAAGAAAAGAAAAGTTAGTAAATCATGACCTAGTGCTCACACTAGTGCTAGGTCTTAGGTAATATTTAGGCCATAGAAAATGCCAGAATTATGCTTAAGCAGCACCCATATAACTTAATGAGGGAATCACAGAAGAGATGACTACCTGCTTTAAGTACCTGATGGAATAGGAAAGAATCAGAAAGAGCACTGGTTGAGCGCTTTGTCCCACAAGAGATCTTACTTAGTATGCAGAGAAGTTTTTCTGACTTCCTGTTGAAGAGTTGCCAGTTAGATCATGAATCATCCTGGAGCAGACATGGACATAAATCATGAACACCATGTTCTATCAAGCAGTCTGATCTTGTATCATTATGCTATGTAGCTTTATTATATTCTTTTGAATGTTTTCAGCTTTATGAGATTAATTTATATATAAGATGTTTTGCTTGAGTTTATGTTGCTGTAATATGACTGCAAATGTTCAGCATGCAATTTTTTAAAACTATTTAGAAACTTTATAGATTCATCAATGAATATATTCACTTTATAGATAGCAGTTAAGTGTTTTGCATCTTGCCTATAGACATACAGTTATTGGCTGATTTTATTTCACTTTGAATCAAAACTTTCTTCAAGGATGTGTGGTACAGGTTTTCCATCTTGTAAAAAGAGGGAGTAGATTTATTGTTGCATAACAAATGATTTTCTAATTTATTATTAGAAATTTGTAATTTATTATTAGAAAGTTAATTTTATGCAACAATAAATCTAAAAAAATACCATTATTTTATAAGATGTCCACAACTGACCTATAAGACATCCAGTTTGATGCATGAGCATGATGTACCAGTTATATTTATAAACAAGTATTTTAAAGTAATGTTGTTCATCCAGTCATGTAATTGCTTAGAAAGTTAAGCACAAGATGAAATAGTTCTGCCACTACTACACTTTGAGTTTGCTACTTACAGCTTTTGATTATGTTTTCATCATGACATTTAAGATGCTGGAAGTTCCGAGTTCCAGTGGGACTTGGCATGTGTTCTGCATCCCATTTCTATGGTGAAGCTATCCTGACACTGATATATGATCATATAATATATGCAGTTTTTAAATATTTGGCAGTTTTGAAACAGTGAAACAGAGCAATATATTGTGTTATTTGTAAATGATACTGTAAATATTTATGCAAGTTAGTATTTCCAATATTTCTAAAAGTTATGCCCCATTCTTTGAAGTATTTCTGACTGATACAAATAGTTGTTAATTGACACAGCTACAACTCTTTGAAACTAAAGCACAGTATATCTAAAGGTTAAAAAATTAAGGCATGAAAAATCCAGAAATTACCCAAATGACCTTGTGGTCAACAGAAATCTAGAGATCACAGTGTAATGGGCCAGACTTTTGGTGCTTTTTGTAGCCATGAGTAGACTGCTTGTACCACCTTAACCATCTTGCCTAGGTGGATCTCTACAAGAGCTTCTGTAGACAACTCAGTGGAGAACTTCACCCTTCTTGAGAAGAATGCCCTCAGAATACGTGTATTTGGCTTTTCCAGTGGGTGTAATAGAGCAGCTCGTCATTTTTAAAGTACAGCAGCTAAGAGTTATGTTAAAATGTTGTGCACAATAGCAGTTTAATACGTTATGTAATTTAATAATATAGTAATAACATATTATGTGTGTTTCTTCTTTTGTATGAAGCAAAAACAGAAAATCAAACTCCTAGATCATCTGACAGAAAAATGAGGGAACCGGAGAGTGGAGGAAACAACATTCTGATGGGATAAGGTGGGAGCAGCAGATGGGACTCTCTAGTGCCTGCACTGAATAAAATGCATCCTGCAATGATAAAGTATAAAATAAATCTTTTAAATAAAATTCCAAGCTGTAAAATATGTTCTGATAAACAATGTAAAGGTTGCAGAATTTTAACATTGTAGTGAAATGATATGAAATATGAAATATAACTTCAGCTATGTGCTCTTAACTGCTGCAGCTAAGGAGAAGATTTTGTTTTCTTCAGTTATGCCTTTGTAGTTTGAAGTCTTGGATTTAGAATGCACATACCCATTATTGAATTGGCTTATTTACAACCTTAGCAACTCTTAGCTTCCATATTTTAAGCAAGAAACGGAAATAATTGTTATATGAAAAAGTAATCTCACGTTTTAAAGAATCTGCAAACCTAATTTAAGACCAAAGTCCAGAACCTTTGATCAGTCTATAAAAAACCAGACTTTTGAAGCATTGTGCTGTGAATTTGGAATTAATGTTTTTACAAGTAGTAAGTTCATAAAAATTCTGTGTAAGTTTCAAAGAAATCTAAAAGCAAATATCTCCAGATGTTGTAAAAAGAAGTTTTGTTTAATAAGTTTTGTTGTATAAATACTTGTTTTAATTTTGGTATTTCAAATTGTATTTTCACTTTAATAATTTCTAATAATGAATCTAGGTTTTAATCAGCTGCTATTGCAAGCTGTCATGGTTCAGTGATGTCATCTGCATTTGTTTGTATCAATGCTAGTATTTCTATCAAAATTTATGTGGAAAAACATGCAATCATATTTTGAAAAGTTCTATTTATGCCAATACTTGAGAGAGAGATTATGAAGCTATTGTCAGCTTCTCTTTCAAAATGGAGGCAGCATAAATGTATTGATATCAGAAACATATGGTTTTTAAAATTTATTGGTGTATGATAAAGATGATCTGGTCTGTGTATGCATCTGTGTGTGTGGTTACCTTTTATAATGTAAAAACATGAATGATGATTTACTCAAAATAAAACCTAGGACAATGCTGTACATGCATGTTCTTGAAAAAAAATTTCTCAGGGCATCTTTTTAATTAAAATAAATAAAAGCACTTACCTATGAAGGGTATTTATTTAAAACAGAAATAATGCTGGATTGCTTGAAGTACAAATGTTTATTTGGATTAAGCACTGTCTGAATTCCTAAGCTTCCTACACCACAGTTGGGTTTAGCTGTATTCTCTGTCTTAAGTCGTAGGCATTGTTGAGGTTCTGTGGAAATACTTAATTTTTCAGTTTGTTCTGCAGCCTGGCAGAGGATCTTTTAAACCACGAATTTCTTTAAAAGCTTATTCAAGTTTCATGGTGTTTAACATTCAGTATTGATACAGGTGCACAGATGACCTGGGCTGGCTCCTCCTGGGTTGTGCTCTTGGTTCATTAATGCAAGCAGATAGTCCCAGTTCCCCAGGCACAGCTGACTCAAGTGCCAGCTCCAGCTGCTCCCCTGGGGGCCACAGGAGACTCGTCAGTCTGTCCTGACCCTTGGCAGGGACCAAACTCAGATCATGAGCAGCTGGCTGTAGAACAGGACTCAAAACTGTGTTTGCCCTTTCAATGCCTTTATGAGAGTGTTGGGGGTTAGAGCAATGCAGAACAATCAGTAAGTTCAGAGATTTGAAGCTCTTTCTCCCCTTAATAAGCATGTAATGAGTTCTGTAAACAGTCTGTCTTTTGTTCCTTCTTGGTTGTCCCTGTCTGTCATTCTAAACTGATTAATTTATTTAATGCTGATAATGCGTGCTCTACCCAATAACCCAAAATTCCTTCAATGTAATCCTTAAATGCTCTAGATAAGTTTTTGGACTGGACACTTTCCTTGTAAAATACCTCTGGTGTCTTGTGCATGATTTCATCAGTCCTTTGCCCTACAGACCTCCATCCAAGCAATCTTTTTAGGGGTCACTTACTTCTGGGTTAGTTCTGTTAAACAGCACCAATGCATTTGGACCATTCAGAGCACTGCTTATACCTGCTGGTCAGCTGTAGCTCTGGAAAAACAGCTGAAGGTCAACTGTGCAGTGGAATTTCTTGGTTTTCATACAGACCAGTGGCAGGAAGGAGTGATTCTCTTTCTGGGTACATTTGTAATGCAGTCCAGAGTAAGGTTAGATGCACCTTCATAGATAGCAGAGCCTGCCTCCTAAGTCCTTTTGTGAGTGGTTTACATCAGTGTCTGGGCTGCTGTGGGCAGACAACAAATGGTAACTGAGGTGATTTTTAGAGATTTACTAGCTTTGTCCTATAATGTATTTTTTGTATCTTCTCTAGCAGATGTATCTATGTGTGTTAACTGATAGACACACCTGTGAAGTTCCTTGCCAAATGATTTTGAAAAGTCTTCTGCTCCTTTCTGGGCAATTATTTTATGAAGGTTGTATGAGCAAGCAGAAGAACGCTGGGATCTGTTAGTTGCATAAACCTGGAAGTAGCTTTTTCATTGTTTCGTACTTTATACATAGGACTCTGCTAATTAAAATCTATTAAATGTTAAGAACTTGTCATTCTCTTGGAAGCACTGCTCTACTTGAATAAAGGAAATTGTGTTTAGATCATGGAAATGTTTTTCTGAAGCATGTTGGTAATTCCTTTTGGACTTTATAATCAGCTCTGTGAATAGATTTATTCCACTTCAATGGAGGTATGTTTTTCCTCCCAAAATCTGCCTTAGTTCAGTTATAGAGTCCTGTTACATCATTCACCCTGGTGTCTAGATGGTATTACAGGTAGAAATCCTGGGTTTAGGAGAGGGCTAGCTTTGTGCTATGAAATAGTACAGGCCAGATTTTCCAAAATCAGAATACCTAAATTATTTTTCAGAATTATTTTGTTTTTAATTCAAAGAATATTTTTAAGGCACATGATGTATTCTGAGAATATGAGGTGATTTGATAGTCTGCATAAATGTTTTGAAAGAGGTCACGCTCACAATGTAGACTTCATGATAGACATTTTCTACAGTAATAAAATAAAGCTCTCCAGATAAAAATTATAAATTCTCTTTTAGGGATTGATACTGCTTCTAGTTTTATAAATGGCAAAGTTCTGCTAACATTGAGGTCACTGGGCTCTTCAGTCTCTGCAACAGAAGATAACATTGATAGGAATATGCAGTGTTTGGGAATGAGCTTCCTGAATATTTTGGCATGTGAATGCCTGGGGCTTTTTATTCAGATTTATCACTAAGATACTGATTTTTGAAATTTCACTTCTGTGGTTTTTGGGTTTTCTTTTACCAAAGGTAGATATTACAAATCACATTTTTGTTGCTTTGAGCCTCATGAAGTTAGCTTGTTATGTGACATTAATAAAATATTGTTAGGATGACCTAGTGCTAGGTGGGGAGACAAAACAGGTTTTCATATTTCATGTTTCAGTGTTTTTTTTATTCTAAAATAAATTAATAAAAATAAAGCTTCTTATGTACCAAAGAATAGAAACTATCACCTTTATTCACATTTCTGTTGGATCAACCACCCTGCCCATGAACAGTAATGTTTTAAAAGTTTCTTCAAAAATCATGAAAAGGAAAGGTCGGTCCACTTTGATTACAGGAGGCACCGTGAATGCAGTTATTTCTGACCCACTTGCTGCTGCCGCCTCAGTTCCTTCTTCATCCACTTCAATAAATGCCTTTTGGACAACCTGAAGTGCAAGGTAGAAATAAATACGTGACAGAAGTAAATACTAACATGAGGAATATTTTTGCAGGTGAAGGCATTTGGTTGAAGAAGGCTTCTGTTAAGAATTAAAATGAGCAGCTCAGGGCAGTCTACCTCTGTTAGACTGGGTTAGACAGACTGTGCTGTCTGCTTCAGCAGCAGAGGAGTCAGCACAGCCACTGTGCCCACAATGCTCATGGTGTGGATGCTAGTTCAGGAGTCATTGCACTTTTCCACATTTCTGAGCACTTAGAGATTGGGGGTTTTGCATGAAGCAACCATTGCATTTGTGTAGAGTGCTCCTCTTTGCCACCTAACTGTTCAAAGGAGTTTCTCAATTGTAGGAAATGTGTTTTCACCAGTCACAAACACCGACTGGCTGGATATGTCATTCACAGCTGATTTTGTGAAAGCTTAGGAAAATGCACCAATCTTTGCCGTTTCCCCTGTATATTTCTAATTTCTACATTTGGTAGCACAGACTAAATATGTAGAGCAATGAAGTACAGTCCTGGATTGGTTTGAATATTTTCCTTTCCCACTGAAATTGCAGCCTGGAAGAATCTGATTTTTAATTTTTTCATCTTTTCAATTTGGTTCTTTCAGCCTGCTTGTACCTCTGAGTGCTTCTGCTGTGTTAGTTTCTGTATTGGTGAACTGCCTGGTCATCTAGTGGATTTCCAGCTCCTAAACTCCTAATTGTAGGAATTACTTATGTGAAAACTGTTAAAAGACTTCAGCAGTATTGAGCTTTCTGCTGCATAGTCTTAAATAATATATTTGTCTTTCACAATTCACAGGGACAGGATGCTCCTCTGGCACTTCGTAGCTGATGCACATATTGCTTCTAATATCAGTTAGCAGCTCCTGTTAAAGTGTGATTTTTTCATAACACAATAGAGTTAACTGCTGAGAATCAGCATGAAAGTTACATGATCGAGAGGAAGGGAGGAAAGTGCTGCAGATTGCTATTATATTTCCGCACAGTGAAATAGTTCATACCAAACTGAAAATCACTGCAATTTTATCCATTAAATATTTCTTCTTAGGATGTTACATCTTTCAAGAAAGGTTGTTTTGTTAAGCCACTGCAATTTTGAAAACCTGTAGGTCAAGTATGAGAGTTTTTGAAATTTATATAGAATTGTTGATTATACCACCTTCTTAACTGGCTTATCACAAAGGCTTCTGTAAGGATTTGGTGTAGGGAGACTTGTAAGGGCAGCACCAGAAGGTTTCTTTCTCATAGGGTACAAATACCCATTGGGAGGGTGCAAAGAAGGTGGAGCCAGGCTTGTCAGTGGTGCCCAGTGACAGGACCAGAGGCAGTGGACACTGGCTGAAACACGGAAGGAAAACGCTTTTCCATGTTAGGGTGACTGAGCATTGGCACATGTTGCCCAGAGATACTGTGGATTCTTCCTCTTTGGAGATACTCAAAAGCTGTCTGGACATGGACCTCAGCAACTTGCTGAGGTGACCCTGCTTGAGCAGAGGAGTTGGGCCAGGTGATCTCCAGAGGTCCCTTCCAACCTTAACCATTCTGTGGTTCTGGGAAGCCTCTCCTGGAGTTACAGTCCTGGATTGTCAGTGCCATACAACCCTCCACAGCCACAAGCAGTTGCATGCTACAATTTCCTTACATAAGTTTATAAAGCTATGTTTTTAAATCCTGTGCCAGATTAATTTTATTTGGATGTTGTTTATAAATTCATCTTGTTTCATAAATTTTTTACTTTTACTGTAATGGATGAACTTGTATTTAGAATTAATTGCTTTTCATCTTTTTCCATACACTCTATTCTTATGGGCACATATATCTCTGTGTGTTATGTCTTTCATCTTCTTTCTTTGACCATACCTTTTAATTTTCTATTAT